AGTTTGAAAAGATATAATTGACAAATGTGTGCGAGTGTTTATGTTAATGAAAGAATCATTTCCATGAGTGATTCTTAATGGATGATGATGTACTGCTGAATGATAAGATATTACCAGTTGTTATGCTAGTATTAATTGATGTTTATGGAGAGAGAGAGAGAGAATGTCCTTCATTCAAAAATGGCTTAAAATTTATAATACACTATGTAATACACATAATATTAATTATATTGTTGGTGTATGTTCATGTAGCTATAGGTGCCTATGAGAGAGCTCTCAAAGAACAAGGAAGTGCTGATGTAGCGTATGCTCGTCTTATGTTACTAGGATCAGCTGGTACTGGCAAGACGTGTCTCAAGCGTTCATTAATGGAAGAACCTTTCAATCCTCATACTACAAGCACCATTGTATCTGATGTATCAACTGTACGACCATTTGGACACGAGTGGCAAACAAGGAGAGAAAACAAATGGAGAGAAGCCACAGAAGAAGATGAAATTGAGGAACTTGCACATTTGTTTGAATCAAGTCGTTATAGTCCATTCTCACACCATCCATCTGTATTGAGTCCAGAACATTCTCATAATGAGTTATCTACTAGTTCCATAGCTTCTGATTTGAATGTAGAGAGCCATATCCAATCAATTCTTAAAAGAGCTAAAGGTTCTACTGATCAGACAACAGACTCACTTGTTCAAGTGAGTCATGTTACTTTATTTAATAGCATCATAGCATAATTACTTTTGTGTATAAATTTTTAGCCATTTCTTCATATATGGGATTGTGGTGGTCAGCCAGTGTTCCTTGAGATTCTCCCAGCCTTCCTCACTCCTCGTACAATGTTTCTCCTCCTGTTTGATGCTTCAAAGGATTTTAAGGAAGGATGGCTGTCACGTCAGAATACTCCTGATGGTAGAGTACTGTTTGGTGAGGTAGCAAATGAAAGCACGAGTGATCTAATGGCCAAATGGATGTCTACAATACACAGTCACCTCATGAAGCCCAACAAAGATGATACTTCTTCTCCTAGTCTCTATTGTATTGGCACTCGTGGTGACAAGATAAATTCAGAAAGGAAAAAAGAAGTAAAAGAGCAAATAAAGTTCCTGTATCAGGAAAAAGAATTTTCAGATCTTATTAAAGATGTGCTGATCATTGATAATACAACCTCTGGCATGGGGAAAAGAGAAGATCCGAGCATTAAAAATTTACGTGGAGCTATTAGTAATTTTACCCATAAATTAGTCATCAAAACCCCTGTCAACTGGGTTCTCTTTCGCAAAGTTCTCCAACAACTAAAGCAGAATGTCATTAGTGTGTCTGATGCTATTGTCATTGGAGTGGCATGTCATATACCAGCAGATGATGTTCCTAAAGTATTGAAATTCTACCATGAGTTGGGAGTTCTGCTTTACTATCCTCAAATAGAAGGCCTGAAGAAAAAAGTCATTCTCAGTCCAAAATGGTTTGTTGATACCATTGGGAAGGTGTTTACACTAGAAGGATATGAAGAAGGATGGAGTGGAACAAATAGATGGTATTTGTTACGAAAAAAAGGTATTCTTGTTCAACCACTTTATCAAGAGGTATGGCAGTCAAGTGGTATTGATCCAGAAGAAATAATTGAACTTTTAGTTCATTTTTGTCTTGCAGCTCAAGTTCAAACTGAGCATTATGATAGCAGATTCAAGCAATATTTTCTTCCAGCAGTGCTACCAGGATACACAGGTGACCCTAATGAAGTACGACCTGGTTATAAGCTAAGAGCCTCACCTGTACACATTACATTCTCCACTGGGTATGTACCTCCTGGCTTCTTCACTCGTTTAGCAACTGCTGTAGCTACTAATGCCAGTATTGAGCTCAATTTTGAAAATGCTTCTGTTTATGCAAAACCTGCTTTTGGTTTTTTTGATCGATTAGCTATTACCATGAAATTACGCTCTCAAGTTGAGATAAGACCTATCTATCGTAATCGTGTCTGCTTCTCTTATGGCTATCCTTCTGATGATTTTGTTCTCACTGATGTTAATGATGCTATTCAAGTTGATGTGTTGAGGTATGTCTCAGAGAGAAGTCATTCTGTTCCTTTCCAAACAGTTTGTCAAAAAATCATAA